ATCCCCCCCCCATGCGGGGCGCAACATTCTCCCCCGCCCCCCGCCCCCCCCCCCCAGCGGCCAGAGCCAGACAGCACAAAGCAGCCTGCAGCCAACCCAGCACCAGACACTGCTGTGACTGCTCACGCGATGGCGGGGAACGGGGGCAAGAGGAAGAAGAACAAAAAGAAGAAGAGTAAGGTGAGCCCTTGACGCTGCAGTAGGTTGTTTGTCGCAGCCATTCGAGAGCAAGTGAACTGAAAGATGACAGACGATTCATGCATGTACTGCGGTATGCGCTCTTTGATGAACATACCGCGGATGTACCCAGACAAACGCGTGCGTTGGTGTGTGTTCCTGTTGTTGACGCACGTCCTCTCCTCTCTCCCGCATCGGCTCGACAGGCGACGCACGCTTAGTGATGCGTGTGGTGTTTGTGTGCTGCTATCATCCATTTTGATTGGTGATGTCTCTGTGGTAAGATGTTCAACTGATTGGCAAAAGCAGGATTGGCATCGTGACGTCATGCAGTATGGGGTGATCGTCTGATGAAAGTTCCATGCGCACATGGGTACCGGAACCTGCATACGGTTGTCCTGCCCTCCCAGAGAGAGCTTTCCCATCGCCATCCAGATACCGCCTGAGGCAGCAATCACAACTATGGTTTGGTGCGTCGCTTGTCCGCCAATCTGTTGCTAGTACTGCTGTCCAAACACAGCAGTAGTACCGCCGTAGGGTACTGCAAGATATCACACCCCCTTGGACTACTCCAAAGCTCGATTTCTGCACAGGAGAAAGATTGGCGGAGCCGAAAACCGCGGCGTTGGAGCCGTCTCGTCGAGAGCTATCTTTCCGACAAGTTTCATTTGTGCATCATGTTCGTCGTGGAGTACCTACAGTACTGCTGTCGTCTAGCGTTGAAAGTCGGGCCAGGGGGTGTGGTATTTGTCACCTACGGTACTAGACTAATACTAGTTGGTGTTGAGCCCTGGCCCTATGCATACCTCCGTAGATAGAGAGACCGATGCAGGATTACGCAGAATCGTCTAGTTCATTTATCGTGTGCCTTGGTTTATATATTGTAGCGACACGGATTCCACCTTCCTTCCCTCAAAGTGTGCTCCGCCCTTCCGGTATTCTTACCTATCTTCGCGAAAAGCACACCCGTCTGGCATGTATGCCTGTGTAAGATATGCATGGCCTCCGAGGACAATATATCGATATTGGCCTGGGGATCGTTTTTTTTGGGTGCATGCTGTCTCCAGATCTGCGAGAGGCAAGCTGTCTCATGCCCGGAAGGTCCCCCGGGTGTTGTGGCGACCCTGCCGTTGTAAATGTCAGCACCTTATTTCTAGGTTGGCTTGGCCCGACATCGGCGAGAGACAGAAAGAGAGACAAAGAGAGTTGAGAGGTATAGAGTGCGAAGATACATGCAAGGGATCTTAGCCTCGCCTTAGGCGTACACCCCCACCTTTGGATGATTATTTTCGGAGGCTGCGGGCCTGCTCTATAGTGGTGTGGGCAGATTGTAGCAGCACAGTATCCAAGCACGGGAAATTTGGTCAGTATTTTTCTGCTTTCCCATGCAGCGTGTACCACTGCAAACGCCTCTGTGATCGGTCAAGACTGCAAGCTCAACCACAAGAAACCCCAACCTGCACGATGTCCTCGTGCACTAAAATTATTTCGCATTTGAATGTTGGTATTGTTGGTTTTTGCTTTGACCTGCCTAGGCCGCTGACCTGCAACCGCGGAGGAGCACGCTCACACCGGATCAGAGGCTCAGGGTCCAGAACATGCACGAGGTATCGAGGTATCGAGTTATCGGTCAATAAATTATCAGCTTATTGGAAAGCGGCATTCGGAGATTTAGTCAACTGTGGTTCGCTTTCATGCACACAGCGGTAGGGAATAACGCCATCCCTCCCCAAGGGCAATCAATAATCCGTCACCCGGTCTGTACCCGATGGAAAACGTGACAGTGCTCAGCCTGCCCTCGTTGCAACCATCTTGTCGGCAAGTTTAGGGGCACGGAACGTTATCAGTTGGCGTTTACACGTCAGCATTCTCGTGATAAAATAGATAAACCATGCGCTACGAACAGGCGGGCGTGGATATGGGGAAGGGCAGAACATTATTAATAGTGGAGATGCTTGCATGTGTGCGTGTGAGCTGGCCCACGGTATGCGCTTGTACGCAGCTGACCTGTCCAAAGAGAGTGAGCAGTGTTGCGGTCGTGGTGGAGCATGGGGCCGCAAAGTGTACGCCACGTTGTCGCAATATGGACTGTTTTAAAGGAAACACGTGCCGTGTGGATCGCATGAGTTTCCCACAGGCTCAGTACAGCAGTGGTCCATGCGTGGTGCGGGTGGGTACTTGAAGTGGTTGTGGCGAGGCGGTTGTTTGTGCGTTACGATGACGACAGCAGTAGCAATTACGCCGTCACGTATCGACGTGCGATATGAACAGTACGTTGCCGGCACGTCTTGCTCGCTCGTACCGGGTTCCTTGGTGCGCGCCGCTGAAAACTGGTGCGTTCTCTGTGTGTTGGTGGTCCTGTTAGATATCTAGACACTGTATTCAAGTCAATTTCAGTGAACCAGCCACATAATCAAGACTCGATTTGTCAATGGAAAAAACGTTCTGTCAGATCCTAGGCGAAGTATGGGAGCCATTCAAGACCGCCGAGGGGGCTATTCGAGGCTTGGAGACAGGCAAGCATGATGGGACATCAGCATGTGAAACACATGAGTTAGGTAGTGATTTGTCAAACGGGTTCGCCAGTGACTGTGGGAGACGTTCTTGGTCAAGATGTTCAACGGAAGGGTATTCGATAAATCGAGGGAACCCTATTGTACTACAATAATTTATTACGGAAGACATTCGCCGAATCAGCTCCAACATCAAAGTACTAGATAGGGGGTAATGAGCCGCGGGTGGAGTCTCAATGCCTTGCAGTAGTCTATCTGCGATGCCGTGCAAGGTACGAGAGACGCTGCTTTCCAGGCAGCAACGCAGCAACCCAAACGCGCGATTTAATTACTGGCGGAATTTGTTTGGAGCGGATCTTCCCGCTGGAAGTTTGTTGAAAATATTACACATGAACGGCGGAGGAACACGAACAACACATGCTCCCTCTGCTGCAACAGCAGTACAGCCAAACGAAGGGCACCTCACAGACACAAATGAACAGTGGTAGCTTACACGAATGCACTTACAGTGCTGCTGCTGCTGCTGCTGCTGCAAGGGCAAGGGCAATGGCAATGACTCCTATCTATCTTTCTATCTTACTCCTTATTCGGCAGTGCATGCACGCGAGAAAACACCCTGGCACCTGGCACCGAAAAGGCTCTCTTGTATATTTCTCGCGCTTGGCACAGCAGTAGGTTTTCTTCAAGGTGACCCCTCCCCACACCCCGAAGCAACACCAACAGCAATGGTACTGCCACGAGCTATGTCCATGCTCCGTCTTGTGTGGTGATTAACACCGACCAGGAGGCTGTAGTGCGCTCAGAAATTGCGGGGGCTAGAGTTTGGCATACTGTAGCCTGCAAGCAAACCGCCGCGTCTGTCTGCTGCGGTCAGTTTCTTCTATTATAGTTTTTTTTGTCCCTGGTGAAAGGTAGGTTTACAGCAGTACCAATGATCCCTCCCCACACACCGAAGCAAAAGCAATGACGATGACATCCGCCACGAGCTGTGTGTATGGCTCCGTTCCCTCCCTTCCCTCGCCAGTGCTGTCTTGCCCCTCCTAGCGGTGTTGCGTGTTTAGCTGCGTGCTTCCTCTGTTTCTCCTGGTTTGGACGAAGAAACTACTGCTGTAGCGTGTGAGTTGCTTTTCCTCTCGTCCAACTCCGTTGGACGAGGGCAAAAATGTCCGATGAATTTGGGGACGAAGGCCTGTCAAGCACGGCCATCTATTGTCAGAGCTCGACTAAACCGGTGTGATGATGTGTGCCCTAATTAGCTTCCTCCGCACAACCCAGCAGATAGTACATCGGTGCTCTATAGAACCTGTTCTCGTCTAATAAAGGTGATAGCTTATTGACGTACCGTTCCCCGGGGGGGGTTGCGGAAGGGTCGCTCTACAGCGCGATGGTTGAAAGAGCCCGATACTTTGAGCCTTTCTTTCCCTCCGGAGGATGAAGGGAAAAAATGTCGCGCTTCGCGCTCCGCTGCTCACCTTTAACCTTGCTTCGACCGGAACGATGCTGTGCTGCTCCCAGACGCCGCGCCATGGCTGGAGCTAGAGTTCTGGGACTCCCTGGCGGAAGCCTTCATGAGGTATTTCGGGCAGGCAATCACCCTCCAGGTGACAGTCCACCTGCAACGATTACGATTTACCTGAATTGAATTTCTGCCTTGTCACCCTTCTGGGTGGAC